TGACCTGCCCAGGGGGACCAGGTGGACCCGGGGGGCCGGGCAGCCCCACACCATCTTGGCCTCGCTCGCCCTGGAAGACACAAACCATCAGCCCCAGGGCCACCGCTGGCCGCTCCCTGCCCCCAGCCTGGTGGCACTCACCTTCTCGCCGGGACTGCCTCTGTCACCTTTGGGTCCCTGGAATGAGGAGCGGGCAGGGGTGAGCTTCCTGCATGGCACCGCGCATGGCCGGACCCCAGCTCACCAGCGGAGAGTCAGCAAAACCTTTCAGGCCACCCCCCCCTCCGCCTGCAAGGTCCCGGGGTGGGACACTTTTGGGTGGAGGTGGTGGTGAGCAGGGTGCCAAGCTGATGGGGGCAGGGTCTCATGCAGCGTGGGCACCCCAGCACGCAGCAAGCCCGGTGCCAGCGCAGGGGAACAGTTGAGAGCACTGGAGCAGGGTGGATTTTGACTGCTAGGGCCAAATTATGGGTGTAAAGCAGAGATGCAGCGTGCAAAGGTGCCCTGCCTGGAGTCAGGGGGAGCTTTTTGGAAAAGCGAACCTAATACTCCTACCTGTGGTCCAGGGAAGCCCTCGAGGCCAGGGCGGCCGTCCACACCGGGCATGCCGGCATCTCCCTGCAAGGAGGCGTGGGGAAGGACGAGATGCAGGATGGAGGATGCTCTGGACAGCCCCAGGTTGGGGAGCATAGTGGTCCCGCCCAGCGTCCTGCAAACCCCAGAGGTTCGCCCACAGCCCGTCCCAATCTCACTCCTACCTTTGGTCCTGGCAAGCCGGGCTGTCCAGGGCTGCCAACCTCCCCCTGCAAGGAAAGAGGTGTCAGAGCAGGAGCATCCCTGTGGGCATCCAGCAAGGATGGAGCCCGGCTCCTGCAGCCAGCTACTAGTGAAGGGTGGGGAAAGCATTTGAAGGGTTCCTCACCTTCACCCCTGGCAGTCCTGGCACCCCCTGCAAGCACCAAGAAAGGGGCCATAAGTGTGGGGTGATGGCAGGAGACACAATGGCAGGGGATGCCCCGGGGAGCCCAGGATGGGGGGGAGGGAAGGAGCAAGAGCGGAGCTACCTGTGGTCCTTCGGGACGGGGTGGTCCAGAGGGGCTGGCAGCAAATGGCAGTCCTGAGCCCTCCATATCGCCCTGGGCAGGGGAGAAGGAGCTGAGCCACGTCTACCCCTGCTTCAGCTCATCCCACCTCCACATCACAGGGATGATCACTTACAAATCCAGCCTCATAGCCTGGTCCTGGGGGTCCCGGGGGACCAGGGGGTCCTGGCTGCCCTCGGGGTCCGATGGGCCCAGGAAGGCCAGCTAATCCCATTTCTCCTGGGGCTCCTGCTGGTCCTGTCTCTCCCTTGCTGCCCTGCAAAGGGGACAAGAGAGGGAAAAAAAAGGGGACAGATGGGATGAAGTGGCAACAGTCCCTGTCTGGAATCTGCAAGGGACAGGGCACAAATGCTGCCCTGGCTCTGGGGCAGAGGGGCTTGCGGGAAGGGGCATCGCCCAGCTAGGGCACCCTTTGTCCCAGCGGTTCTGGGCGGGCCCTGGCTCCCCGTGCAATGTGCACAGTGGCCACCAGAGGCTCGCCTAAAATCATAAATGTGATTTTTGTTTGCGAGCCTTCCCGGCGCCCCTGTGGTGGCAGAGCTCGGTGCCAAGGAGGGATGCTGGCAGACACCCCCGCGCTTGACTATGGGTCTCCAACCGGCAGGATGAGTCC